ATAAAAATGACATCCGTGATGCTCCCATGTCCTGAAAAAAAAAAATACCTTGTTAAATTTTGCCTTCCCTCCCTCTCCCTTCACCAAAGCAACTCATTCTGGCTGCAGTGGTGCTCAATGAACAAATGGCGCCATCTTTCATTCTCGCCACAACTTGTGGCATCAACTTTATCATTTATGCTTTCTTTTTTTGCTTTTTAGCGCAGCTTTCAAAGCTCCCGTCTGCTGTTTGCCTCCTTTAGGCCAATTTTTGTGACCCTTTTCTCTTCAACGACTAAGGCATTTTAAGGAAGTTGAAAAGAAAAGAAAAGTTTTCAGTTCTTTCATCCCCAAGTGTGCCAGTTGTAGCAGCAAAACCACCTGTGAGTAAATCCGTTGAAGGTCCGTATTCGATTACGAGGCTCAGCGAATTCACCGATTCATCCTTATGGTGGTCGATGCTGATGATCGGCGTGCTTTCGCGATTCTCACAGTGAATGTGCTGGACGAAAATGATAACACACCACAGTTCATTGTTCCAACAGTCGAAGTATCGGTATCTTCTGACTGGCAGCCTGGCGAGCCTGTACTAATGGTAAGCCAATTATGTGGAGATGCGGGAAGAAGGGAGGCGTGGTTTCTCCAGTGGATGCAGCTGAAATGGCTCATTTCAAATCTGAGCAACACAACAGACTCTTGGTTATTTTTTACTGAGAGAGGACTGAGCTGTTTTTATGCTGTTTTTATGCGTTTTGTGATGTGTAATAGCAGTACAAAACGCATATTATCACGGGGTTGTCTGTGTGTGTGTGTGTGTGTGTCCGCAGCAACTTGTCCGCAGCTTTCAACTCGGGAACCACAAAAGCTAGGAAGCTGAAAATTTAGGGGAACGTTCCCCACCCACGTGAACCCCGCAAATTTAAATTCAGCTTCCCCGTGCCCGCGGGTAAAGCGTACGGCCCCGTGAAAGTTTTTTACGGGTAAGTTAATATCTCGGGAACCACGGAGTTTAGGAGGCTGAAATTCTAAAGTAATGACCCCCGCTCAACCTTGCCCATTCAAATTCAGCCTTCTCGCGCTTTCGGTACCACCTACGGCCTCGTGAAAATTTTGGCGGGTAAACTATTAACTCGGGAATCACGGAAAGATATACATCCTTCAAGGTTTCGAATTCAGCTTTCATGCGCTGGTGCGTGATTTTAACTGTTTTCCAACGTTTAAACCACTTTTGCATAGAATAAAGTACAAAGCAGTGAAAATCATTAATAGGCAATCGTTCGATGGGCTGAATT